GACTGGAGTTACAGACAGTTGTTAGCTGTCATGTGGGTGCTGGGATTTGAACCCGGGTCTTCTGCAAGAACAACCAGTGTTCTTAACCACTGAGCCATCTCTCCAGCCCCACTACATTTCAGAGTTTAACATTGGGTCAGATAGAGAGGTAAACAAGGAATGGCTATTAAGGGGGCTGAAGATAGCTCATGATAAATTGTAATTAGGCTCTGGACCTTCGACATTCCAACTTCTCCATAGCCATTGAGGCGCTAACGAGTTAATCAGGCTTGTAGAAAGTTCAGTGGAAAGTGTAGCTTCTTTCTGCCATCTGCAGCATGGATGAACTTGGAGGACACTATGCTAAGAGGTCAGATACAAAGGCAAACACTGTGTGATCTTGTATATAGACTTTTAAAAGTCAAACAATAGAATTGTGGCAGCCAGGGGCCAGAGGGAGTGCAAAAGAGGGAGATATTGATCAAAGGGTACAAACCTTCATTCTAAGAGGAATAATTTCAGGCTGAAGGTGTAGCTCAATGGTGAAATGCTTGCCTTCATGTTTGAATCCTTGAGTTCAATCCCCAACAAGACAAAAAAAAAGAATAAGTTCTAGAAATCAGTGTTTAGCATGGTGACTATAACCGACAGGACTATATTGCATTCTTGAGATTTGCTAAGAGATCGGATCTTACAAGTTCTTAACACACACACACACACACATACACACACACAAATTAGTAACTAGTTGGGATGATAAATGTGTTAACTAACCTGATTGTGACTAGCATTTCACATGTTTTTGTATATCAAATTATTATGATACATACTGTAAATTATATAGGTTATATGTCAATCATACCTCAGTGAAGTTGGTAGAGAAAGAATTTGTGTATTTGTGGTGGTTTGAATGAGAAAGGTCCCACATAGGCTCAGGTATTTGAACACTTGGTCTGTAGTTGGTGGTGCTGTTAGGGGAGGTTATAGAACCTTTAGGAGGTGGAGCATTGCTCAGGGGAGTATGCCACTAGGGGCAAACTTTGAGGGTTTATAGCCTTACCCCACTTTCCAGTTTGCTGTTTCATGTTTGCAGTTAAAGATGTGATCTCTCCAGCTTCCTGCCTCCTCTACCATTATGAACGTCCAGCTCTGTAACCTGATTTATGATTATAAATAAAAATAAACCCTTCCTTCTATAAGTTGCCTTTAGTTATGGTGGTTTTTTGTTTGTTTGGTTGTTTTGTTTTGTTTTGTTTTTGAGACAGGGTCTTACTATGTAGCCCTGGCTTCCCCTATTTCCCAAATGCTAAGATTAAAGACACACACCACCACACTGGGCTGGTCATGTTGTTCTATCCAGCAACAAAAAGTAACTAATATACTACCATAAAGTCACTTTTGTAAGAAATGCAGTTCAGCAACTCTTAGTCTTAATATGTTTAAAACTATACATCCATCACCACTATTAATTCCTGTGTATTTTAGGCACTCCCAAAAGAAATGCTATGCTCCTTGGTTATTTTCCATATGTCTTCCTCCTAGCCCACAGAAGTCACTAATTTACTTTCTGTCTTATGGATGGACCAATTTTTTTTTTTTTTTTGTCTTTTTGAGACAGGGTTTCCCTGTAGCCCCAGCTGTCCTGGAACTCACTATGTAGACCAGGCTGGCCTTGAACTCACAAAGATCTGCCTGCCTCTGCCTCCTGAGTGCTGGGATTAAAGGCGTGCACCACCGGCCTGGATGGACCCATTTTAAACATTCCATACCAAAGAATTATATAATACATGGCCTTCTGTGGCTGACTTCTTTTTCTATATTCTGATTTCAAGATCAACCTGTCCTAGTTTGCTTTCTGTTGCTGTGATAAAACACTATGACCAAAATCAGTTTGGGGAGGAAAAGGTTTATTTGGCTTGCACGTTACAGTCCATCATTGAGGGAAGCCAAGGCAGGAACCTGAAGGCAGGACCTGAAGCAGACACCATAGGAATGCTGCTTACTGGCTTGCTTCCCCTGGCTTGGTCCGGT